ATGAAACTACCTGGTCAGTTTTAACATTTGTGGTCTGAGCGGGAATATCTCCCAGTTCAATAATGTCCATTAAATTTTTACAGTTATTAATTTTAAGTGAAGCTTCCATTAAAGGTTGGATGTTATTAAGATTTTCTACAGAACTGTCTTTTCAAAAGCAGTAACAAGAGGAGTAATGATGGAAGAGTCTACACATGATCTCGATTCAGATGTTCCTTCTAAATAATTATCTTCTTTTATTTCCAAATAATTATAGATACGGTCTTTCAATTCTTCATCCTCATACTCATCATCTCCACTTGACTCATACTCAGATTCTTTCTCTTTATTTAAATTCTAAATCTTAATGGGACGGCTTTTACTTAAAGGTTCAGGGATAAGTTTTTTAAATTCTACTGGCACCACTATTTCTTTATTATTTCAAGTGAAAGTCATCTTAGAAGTCATCTAATTAATTTTTGCCTTAATTTTTGATAATCAGTTGTTGCCAACTATAGCATGATAAGAGTTGGCATTGGTAACGATGACATCAATAGGTATTTTAATATTAGCTATGATAAAGGGGAAGTTAGAAATTTCTTCTAGAGCCCTTTTGCTTTTCCTGTGGATATTTACCATATTGATGGTGGAGGGTCGTTCAACCTTAATACTGAGATCTTGAAGTAGATACGAAGAGATCACACTACTGGAGGACCCACTATCCACTATTAAAGGAACTTCTACTCCAAGGATGGTGGTGTCACAATATAGGGCAGTAGATTTACTGTTAGATATTATACTAATGTTAGCTCTTGCTTTTCTCTTAGGAGAAATCTTTTTCTTGTGCAAGCTTTGTGTTAATTCTGCGCGCATGGCATGGACTGCTCGCAGTAGTTGACCAAAGGTAATATTTGCAGGCTTATCCCTTAAATCAGTTATAACTGAATAAGGGGAACCAATAAAGAGATCTGGGGCATCTCATCTTCAGGAATCTTACGCCTTGCTACCAGAACATGCTTTGGTTTAGTTAAAGAGTTTTTAGGTAAGTTATCTATATTTTTTTCTTTATTCAACTTATCCTTTTCTATTTCTTTTTCTTTCTCTTATTCTAACAAGGATTCTAATGGTTCTTTCACTCCTGATTCTAAATCTCTAACTTCTTCCTAAGGATGTTTGCAACGATGTATAGAATCATTAGACTGTGATCCCGCAGCAAATAATGGTGTATTGTCGATAGATATATTAAGAAGGTGGGTTGATTGTTTTGAAATTTTGATTTTTTGTATTACCTTGTTAACTCACAGGAGTCAAACTGGCTGCCATTGCTAGTAAAGACTGTAAGACATCTTGTTGTTAATTTTCTAAGGTACTATTTAATCTGGAGTTAACGTTATAGTTATTAGAGATAATATTATCACCTACAGATATAGGAAGATTTGGAGAAACCACATTAGGATATGGATATGTAGTAGAAGGAGCTTGTCCCAGATTAGGTATTCACCCCAAAGGGTATAACCTTGGGGTGTGTTAAGTGGGGGTTAGGTACAGTAAAAGAACAGCAATTCCTACTAATATGTCCCACCCTACCACATTTTTAACAGACTATTCTATTTGAATTTCCAAAGGTAGGTGACCATTGTTCTTGCAATTGGATTATCATTTTATTAATGGCTTCCGTTAGTTTATCAATGGCCAACTCAGATGTTGTAAGAGGGGAGGAGAAACCACTTGGGGGGTTAGAAGATAATTAAGAGGAGTATAAGACATTTATGGAGGCAGGAAGATATAAGAAACTCTGCTTACAAGTGCTCTTATACACCTTGGCATAGTCATAGGCTGCCTGTAATGTATTGGGTGTAAACAGTGCTACAGCTAGGACTATGTTGAGTCATAGTCTATTTAAAAAGAGTTGGGCTTTTGCTGTTTCTGGGTAGGGCTAAGTCCTGGTTTCTATTTGGTGAAGCAATTCTTGGATTGCGGTGTGATAAGTGTCTACATCCTTAGTTGCTTGCTGTTTACAAGTGGCTAACTAAGCGAACCACTTTCCTTCCAATGCAGAGGTTCAAAATTGTAGTATAAAACGAGGGCAGAAACTTATGTTCTGCTACACAGAGTCATCCCATGTATTAATAGAGTTTGTGGGACGTTGGGTTGTTGCTCACTATGTGGTGGCAGCTCTCTTTAAGTGTGGGATAATAACAGGAATACGACGGGCATTAGTAACTAAATTAGCAGCAAAAGCCTTTTCAATCTCATCAAGCCAAGTCATGGAGTCTTGATCCCCTCCTATGAAATTGGGGTAGACAACCAAGCTTAATTCTCAGTTAGAAGGGTTGTAGTTGATCTGGGAAGCTGAAGCAACTTGCATTTGTTGGATCAATAGCCCAATCTGGGCTGCCAGATTATCAATAGCATTAGGTTGTTGGGGCAGCTGCTGGGGTTGCTGCAGCTGTTAGGGTTGCTGTGGCTGTTGGACTAGTTGTTGAACAGGATTAGGTTGTTGCACCAGATTAGGCTGTGGTACTGGCTAAACCAGATTACCCAGAGCGGGCTGTTGTAGCAGATTAACTGAATTAACTTGAGCCAGAGGATTACATTGTACCATAACTACTCTTAAGGATGATAAGTTTATGTATTGTATGAATTTCTAGGGTCTTTATAATATACGAAAGCTAACTTTTTCAATTATATTTATTTCAGGTGCAACAGATTGTTTATTTTACACAACTAGCACCAAATATAACAGTTGAATGGGAGAGCAAGGGTACAATTATAGACAATAGTGCCAATTTAACTCTAACTATATATGGGAATAGAGGTTTATATAAATTAATAAGAATATGGATAGGTCTTATAATGAATCGGTCTTAAAAACAATTTAAATATAATATGCTATTAAGGAATTCTGATGTTTAAACTAATACATGGGTTTAAAGACAAAGATGAATTAAAAGGATTTGGAAATGATATCAGGACACTAGTATGTCATCGATGTTTTAAAGGTGAGTTGATTGATATTGATAATGATGATTAGTTATTAAGCATCTGGGATTATAGATCCTATATTTCAAAATCAACTGATGCTGGTGATGCCAAAGGAGGTGGGCGGTATTACTTTACATGTTTCTAACTAATTTTTTTCTTGAACGAAAGAATTTTCAGACACTATTCATGTGACCAAGTTCTGAAAAGGCAAGAAGACGGTTATACTAAATTTCAAGTTTTAATAAAATGTTCATGGTTACAAGTCAATTCAGTCTGTCGAATTAAGTTACAACAGTTTATTAATATTGCAAGTTAAAATTTCAAGATTAGTAGTTGCTTTATTTTATTTGGTATAAAGGATGTGGAACTTGTTATCCTTTATTAATTTTTTTTAAAGCCTTTATATACATTTTAAATATCTATAATGTTTATGCTAAGAAACTGATGTTTATGCTACTAAATTATTATTCACGCGATAATTCCAATGTCAATTTAGTGTTATCGCCAAAATTGTAGCATCGACGCAAAATGATCTACTCTATATTTTCAAGCCACATGAGCTTTTCTTATTTGTATAACTAATTAATTCTTGTTCAAAGAATAATAAATTTACTAAATTTGACATTGTTATCTAAATGGAACTGGCGCATGATGACAACTATATACAAAGAAAATAATAAAATAAAAAAATAAAGTATAGAAATAAAGTAAAACTGAAAAATATCAATATATGTAATTTATAGAAGTTTTGATTCTATTCTATAACAATACGAATAATAATATTATTGAGATATGTTCAAACTTTACTATTACTGTGATTTTTTAATGAGTGTATAGTGACGCTCAATTGCAATGATAGATTAAAATAAAGATCACTGCTTGAGAAGATTCTAAATGAGTAAAGGGAAGAAAAGCCTATAAATCATTTCGCTCATTATCATTGTGAATCCTCAAGAGTAGAATGGGTAGAATTCACTGCGATGATGATAAGTGAAATGGTTTACAGATTTTCTCTTCCCATCACTCAAATAGTATAATTTGATAGTTTGATAATTTACTGTATAGTGCTAATCAAGCTATGTCAAAAGTGGCCAAAAGGATTGTTGGCTTTGTGAATTTAATATTTTTTATTATGTTAACATATATTTTTGTTCTGACAACCCTGTTCACAACACAAATTATTTTTTACACAACTACTTACCTGATAATTATTATTTCTCCAATAACAATTCTTTCCCCTTCTCTGAAGCCACTCTTCCCCAACACCACACTTTGATACAACCCTTCCCTGACACCACCCTTCCCCAACACCACCCTTCCCTGGCATCACCCTTTCCCATCATCAGCATTCTCCTTCCCCAGCACTATTCTTATTTAAATATTTTTAAAAATAAATATATTGCCAAAATATTAATTCTCTCCAATCTTTCTTTGTCTGCATGTTGTAGATCATTTCCAATAAAGTTTAAGATTAGATGTTAAACATTTTATTCATTGGATGCGACCTTACTCGTGATCTGCCACATCTCCTTTTAGGCTAAAACAGAAAAAAATTTTATCAAATTATATTGAATCTTATATTATATTGCAACATCTCATTGCATTGCACAGATCTGATCTATAGCATGCCCCCAAAAAATTTTTATCATATTCGGGTTGTATTTATAAGATTCAATAAGTTAAATCGACTTTTGATTTCATAATTCGATATATGCATTGCTATGTAACTTTATTTTGAATTTGTATACTTTACAATAGTAAACTTTATGTTAATCGCTCATGTGTCTTATTAGTTAAATCTTATAATATTTATATAACATTTTATAACACATCTTGAATGTTTCCAGTTATTAGTATGTAATTAGCTACAATGATTAGCACCGTTTAAATTCTATCAGATAGATCTCCATTTACTTATTGTATATACAGTATATACGTACATTGTGAATGACACCTCGGGTGCTATATTGTTTAAAAAAATTTTTTTATTATTTTTATTATATATAGTGGGGTACTATGGCATTATGGACACTTTTTAAAAACTTGTACAAAGCTAAATATATAAGATATTAAGCTAAAAATTAAATTATAAATTCTTTGAATCTATATTTTTTAAATAAAAAAAAAGTTTAAAAAAATTTATGTAACAGATTTTAAAATAATTAAGTTTAAGTAAAATTTTAGGTTTTATTTATTTTTTTTTTGGTATTAAGATTAGGTTTTGCTTATATCTTTATTTAATAATTTATATAAGTAATTACATAAAGCAATATAAAAACTTAATTTGTATACTAACAAATAAATATAAATTACATGCAAAAATAAAAGCTCAGACAAAATTATCTGCAACCTAAACCTACTAGAGTAGTTAAGACTCATCTAGATTTGGATAGATAGAATATAGTTAATAGATATGCTATGTTTAATCCACATAGTAGACCAAATGTCCATTTTTAAAGAAGCCTGTTCTAGGGGAAGATAGATATTAGGTTCAAAATATAAGTAGTTAGCAAAGCTACAAGGAAGCTGATAGTAGACACAGTTTTGTTTTTTTTATAATTTTGAAGTAAAGAGAAATGAAGTGGTGTATTAGATGTAAAGCAAGTCAGAATCTGGTAGGTTTTTTTTCAATGTAAGAAGTTTGTACAATATGGGATCCATATATTATTGTAAGATTAGAAATTTTAAGAAGTATTTGTATAATTAGTTGTGAGGCTTGAGAGTAAGAAATATCAAAGAAGTTTAGAGATTGAATTAAGAGTTTGAGAATGAGGCCTTTAAGTATAGAGAGAATAAGGGTATAAAGTAGAAGATAAGAGGTTGAAGAAAGGGTGAGAGAAAATCATGTATATTAAGTTGTTAAGTTGATATAAAGTAAAATTGAGGCTAGCATTAAAAACAATCTCATGAATAGAAGTATTAATATTTTGAATTAAAAGAGTATTATTAGAACATATATACTAGTAAGAAGAAGTATTTAGGCTATTACAGAAAAAGCAGTTAGGAGATATAAATATAGAGAGATATATAGAATGAAAATAAAAATTAGTTAGTAAAAAATTTATAAGTAATTTAATTTTGAAGGATTTTAAGTATTTAATTTAAAATTAGTAAAATTATATAAAATTTTTTGATTATTATTGAAGTATAGCCAGGAGGCTTGCCAGTCAATTAAGTGAAAAAAGTGTAACCATTCTTGGGCATGCTGTTATAAAGACTATAATACAATAGTATATGCTTTGCAAATTGTTTTAATAAAGTATCTAGTAGAGCTTTTGACATAAGTATTATTCCAGAATAAAGTAAAGTATAGAATGTAGAGATTTGTATTATTAAATTGTAGAATAGGTAAGGTAGAATAGTTATTTGCAAGCAGGTCAGCAAAGTTGTTAAAGAGATCATTTGAGTGGACTTAAACTTTATAAAAAGTAAGGTGAATATTAAAGAATTTTAATATATTAAGAAGTGTATGCCAGATAGGCCAAGTATTGAATTTAAAGAGTTTAGGAGAATAAGGTGAAAGGAATTAAAGTTTGTTAAATTTAGAAATCATAGATTGTGAGTTAGTAAAGATTTTGACAAGAGAATTGTGAGAAAGTGTAAATATAGCAGATATGACTGCATTAGTTTAGCTTTATAGAAGGAATACCAATTGGAGATTTAAGCAGAAAAGCATAGAATAACATAACTATTATGAACTTGAATCCAGCTAATACCTATAGAGCAATAGTCAGTACCAATTTGTTTTACAGAGCCATCTGTGTAAAAGATAAACTGATGTTAAGAGAAATTAGAAAGTGTAATATAAAATAGTTTTTTGAAAGCTTCACTTTTATAAAAAATATTTGAAATAATTGAGTCAATAATATTAATAGTTGGCAGAGGTAGTATATATAAAGGATGTTTAAAATCTGTAGAGTAAATAAGGTCAATATAATTAGCATTGAGATTAAGTCGCTTGTTATCTTTCTTTCTTTTAAAAAAGTAGCTGGAAAGAATTGTTGATACTTCTAGAGTGCAACAACTAGTTATATAATGAGAGTTAAAATTACAACCCTGGCAAAGAGTGCAAAAAATTAAGGTAAAAAATAGTAGTATAAAGTAGAAGTATTAATATTGTGTTGCTAGTGTATTATAGAGATTTTATTAAATTGAAAAAAAATTTTATAGATTTGAATAATAATAATATTGTTGTTATAATAGATTAATGCCCAAGGCTTGTTAGTTTTAGAAAATAGGTTAGTTTGATATACAAATAGGTTGATGCTAGTAGGTTAAAGATGATAAGTAATAGTACAATGAATATTATTATTAAGAATAGAACTTTCAAGATAAGTAAACTAGAGTGGTTTTTTCTCTTTGGGAATATATAAAAGTTAAGAAGATAGATGTGACCAGTCTAGGAGAGTGTTGTTGTTTACAAAGCAAAGATGTTCAAGCTAGAGGATATTTTTATAACAAAGTTGTTATTTAAAAGTATTGTACATGAGGTGATTAGATAAGTTATTTTCAAGAGGTGTGTTGCTATCATTTATAGTTTTAGCCAATGAGGAATTAGAGTATAAATATATAGAAATTTAAAGATAGTTTAGTAGTTGTATAATTTTAAAGATAGTGGAGTGTTTGTTTGGGCTATTGATAATTGGATAGAGATGTAAAAGTATATTAGTAGTAAGCCAGAGATTATTTTAAAGTTGCTAGAGATGATATGAGTAGTAGTACCAAATACTAAGCAGTTATTAATTTAATTTAGAAAGTTGCTAATATGAAATTGTAGTTGAATATCACAAATACTGTGGATATTATAAAGATTGTGATTAAGGAGAGTACTGTTGGGAGTAGAACGAGAAAGACAGGCTTTATATTTGGCTATAGTAAGATATTTGCTAAGAATTTGGTTGCATGTAGAGAGAGAGATTATAATACTGTGTAGCAATTTTTGCTAAATTAATAGCTTCTTAAATAAGTTTGATTTAAGAGGTTTGCTTATTATTAAAGTGTAAACTAATAGCCTAAAAATTTGAATAATTGGTGAGGAAGAATAGTGAAAACTAGAGTTTAGAAATAAAATGTTAGAAAAGTCTTGTTTTGTAATAAAACTGATTTGTTAAGATTAACTTGAATATTAGCTATAGAGTAGAAGGAAAAAACAATGTTGGTAATTTCTTTGAGTTGTGTTTTGGATTAAGCAATCTATAATATATCATCTATATAAACAAAAACAGAAATAGAGATGTTAAGGTTATTGAAAGAAGTATGTATAAGACTAGTTTGCTATAAGGTAGGGAGTATATAACTAGAAAAGTGTAAGGAGATATATAAGATAAGCAGGTTATAGTAGATTCTCCAAAAAAGAGAGGTAATTGTTTTCTCTTTTCAATACTATTTCTAACAGAGTAGAAATTAGTAAGACCAATATTAATAATAATCTAGTTAGTTTAATTGAATAAGAAATTCATAAGAATAAAAATGAGTAATAAAGATATTTGAATATGCTATAAGAATTTTTAAAAAAGTTCAAAATTAATTGAATCATAAGCTTTGCTTATATCCTGAGATAGAAGCCAAAGTTGGTTCGAATTATAGTTAGAATCTTCAATAATATTGTTAAGAATATAGATGGGGATAGAGGTAGAGTTACCAGGGAGTATGATAAAGTTAAATAGCAATAGGATATTATGTTGAGATAAAGCAAGATTAAAATGTTTAGTGAGAAGTTTGGTATATAATTTTCTAATATATTCTACTAGGCTAATTAGCCTAGTATTAGAAAGATTGCTATCAAAAATAGATTTTTTAAAAATAAGAAAGGTATGGCCTTCTATTGTCTAGATAAAGATTGAGAAGAGAGGCAATAGTTAAAGAGAGATGTAATAGTGGTGATAAAGTTAGAACCAGCATGTTTAAGTATTTCATAGCTAATACTAGAAGGGCTATATTTCTTATTATTAGGAAGTTGATTAATAGTTGATAGGACCTGGTTCTATCAAAAACTATTTTCCTGAAAGAACATAATACCAACTAAATTAGCTAGTATTATAACTAATACTAGCTAACTTTGTTAGAATTAGGTCTTTTTAGAAATCTGTCTTTTGGAATTATGTAGTAAAACTATAGGATCTCTTTTTCAGTAAAGTTTAAAACAATATTGGAATATTAGTTGGTGTTAATATTAGATTTGAGATTATATTTAGTTTTTCATTGAGAATTAAATATATCTAAGTTGATATATTGAAATACAGTCTAATTATCAAAGTGTTTTAGAATGTAGGATTTTATAGTAGGAGGGTTAGTGATAATATTATTATCAAGTTGGTAATTATTAAA